ACCAAAAGTTCATATTCTGTTAGCTTTTGAGCCCTTTATAATCTCAATCACCTTTAGCCTTCAGCTTTTTTTCTTTTCTAGATCATCCAAGTTAGGGACTTGCATTGATTCTTCTATCTTTTTCATAAAGACAAGATTGACATAACTTTGAAAATGCCCTTAAGTTGACGCATAAGGCATTTCATGATAGGTATATCTTATCAGATGTGAGAATTACTGCTGAATGGGCCATAACCAGGAGGATAAAAAGGAATAACAACATCCTGTGATGGAAGGTCTTACTGGTTAGTATCTTCTTCTACATTTTTTCTTTATTCAATTTATTTAAGGCTTCTAGAATCTTATTCAACTATTTTTCAAGCTTCTCTTGGGCTTTCTTTATCTTCTCAAGGTCATTGGTATTATCTTGTTTCATTTGTTTGGCTTTAGCTCTGGTGTTGTACTAATGGTAAATGGATTGAATTAGATTCTTAAATGGTGGAGCTATCTTTGAACCTTGTATACCATGATTGGTATGCTAATGCTATTAATCTAATATTTTTTTAAGAATCCTATATACATGAGTGAATGAATGCTTAAATAATGTATGAATGCATGTACTAACATGTCATATTATGATGCATGGATGAATACATATGTTAGTGATATTGAATAAGAATACAACATACAACAACTTAATCAATAATAATCAAATAACATTTGTTATGTAAGTGATTGAATAAAGCTCAAAAAGGTCCATTCATATATCCTAATTAGGGTTACATTATAATGATAGGTAGATATGGCTCTAACCTAAGGTTGGCTTTTTATGTTTATTACATGTGGTTTGGGTTAAATCTAAAAGTTTTCAAATTGTTCTCACATCATTATCCATCACAGACTAGTAAGACACTCTAATCCTTCACCCATCATAAGCTACAAACAAAAAAGATTCAATTTGCGTAAGAGTATTTTGCTAGCCATTTTGATGATTATCATCTCACAATAACATAGGTACTTTACTCCCTCTTAAGAAAGACAGAACCCGAATATAAAGCTCATAGGACATACATACATGTGATAGTGTGTGTGAAAGAATACATATATCTTTATTTGTAGTTTTCAAAAGCCAAGTTAAAGAATGCAAACAAATGATCAATAATTTAAGACCAAGCAAACAAAAAAAATGATAATTCAAAATTAATTAATGGCTTGACTCTTAGCATCCCTAGTGGAGTTGTCAAACTGCCATAACATATAGATTTGTAGACCTATAGCTAGACACAACTTAAGGAGTTACCATTAGTCTTTTATCAATGTGTGATTGATCACTTAAGTGAATTTATTCTTTTAAAAAACCTCTAAGCTTGACTAAAGATCCCTAAAAAATAGGTTTTAACCTTTTAAATAAAACTAGGTTTAGGAATTTGATTACATGTAAGAAAAGTTATAGCACTCCTATAATGTCTATCTTAAATGATGGTACCATTAATTTTAAATTATCCTAAAAATTTATGTTCTAATGGTTTTAAAATTAATATTGAAAAAAACTTTTAAAACTCTCTATTAATCTTACAGAATTCTTAAAAATACTTTATCACTTTGAGAGTATTTAAGAATCTCATTTGTTTTTTTAAAGAGGCTCTGTCATCCAAAAAAACCTAATCATTTAGTTTCTTTTTTTTTAAATTGTTTTGTTATTGAAAATATATCTAATCCTTTCACCATTTGGGCTAAAATTAAAAAAATTTTTCACTTAAAAATGTCTTAGATAATCACCCATTTACGATTATTAAGAATTTCATTCTTAAAATTTATTTTTTATTTTACAAGTTTTATTTCTAAATTTTTCACCATTTGGGTTTAATTTTAAAAAAAGAAAACCCTTCACCTAAAAATATCATAAAAATTCAACCATTTGTGATTTTTCTTGAGATTTCTTTATTGTACAATTACTATATATTTTCAAACAAAATTTTAAGGTTTTTATTTTTTTATTAGGAAAAAAATATAATTACTTTATTAAAATTTTATCTAAATTATTCTACAATTTGAGTTAAATTTAAAGAAATTCCTCACATAGATATTTTAAAAAATTTACCATTTAAATTTTTTAAAAATCTCATCATTGGAATAATTATTAATTCATCCCAAAATTTTATAAAGTTTATTTATTTTTTTATAATTTTAAAAAAATATTAATTATTGTTATTAAATCTTTACTTTTTGTCAATTAAATAATTAAAACATGCATTAAACAAAAAAAATTAAATAAGTAAATAAATAAAATAAACAAACAAAGAATTAAATAAATAAATACACACATAAATGAGTAAAAAGTACCTTTTAATCTTATAAATAAAGTATTGCTACTTTAATAATGTCAGCGAGTGCCCATCCATCGTAAATGCAAATGGCTTTGTACAAGCCTCCCAAACAAAGCCAATAGTACCTATTTGCAAGAGGCCCTCACGACTTTTGTCCAAATTGGATATTTTCTCCATGTGCTTCTTTTTCTAAATTATTATTTTTTAAAGAAAGACAAGTCTTCATTGAGGAATACTTGCGAATTTCAAGAGAGTTTTCTTTAAGTCTGACTTATGCTACATTATTGGAGCTTGGAGTTGTGGTTGATAGGTGACAATATTTCCCAACTAATGGTGCTAGTAATGGCAAGGCGCTTATGCTGATTGCTTCTCTTTTTTTTTTTTTTTTATTTCAATGGTTGTTTTTTGGTGCTCTGTTTTTTGTTTTCGAAACGTTGGTGTTTGGTATTATAGAGGCTTAAATGATGGACTATTTGGTGGTGCTATGGAAGCTTAGAGACTTGTGTGATATTGATGATAACAGTAGCAGTAGATCTGTGTTGATGGTGATCGTTCTCGTGTAGTAGTGAAGGTTGTAGCAATGAAGGTGGTGTTCGGTGGTGTTCTGGCAGAGATGACAGTGGGATGAAGGTATTCTCTGGTGATTTCTCTCTGTTTTGCTTACAATCGTTTTATAAAAAAGAGTTTAAATTCAAATAGTGTTGCACTGGGATTGGATTTTTTTTTTTAAATTCAGTTTATCATTGGATTAAAATTTTAATTATTTATCAAAAAAACTTAAAAATTTAAATTAAATCCAATCATCAATCAAATCATCATTATTTTATTTTATTTTATTTTTTTTAAAATTATTTATAATATATATAAAATAATTAAACTCGAGTTTAAGATTAATAAATTTAAATTTTAAATTAAATGAAATGTTTACATATATAATATTTAATAATATATTTTAATATTATAATTTTATAATATATATTTATCAAATGAGAGAATGCTACTTAAAATTTTTAATATAATAATCAAATAAATAATTTAATAAAAGAAAATCCCACTAAAAAATTCGGTGGCGATGGGAAAAAATTTTCTGTACGATGAGGACAAAGAGTTTGAGAAAGCGGGGCCCTTCCGTATTCTTAATTGCCTGAGAACAAGTAATTTGTGTAGTAGCTGGGCGATTTTTATTCAGAATTTGGTCTTTTCAATGACGGCTGAACCCAGCAAAAGCAAGTACCAGTACTTATTATTTATATAAATTTTGTGGAGATCGTTGTGCTTCAAAAAGGAGGCAAAGTTCATGTCCGTTGGTGAAACCACTAAGAATTGCTGAATGACTATTTCTATCTTCTCTTCTGTTCTTGCGTTCCTCGTCAAATTCTTAATGATGTTGAATGGCCAAGTCCAAGAAGCAGCTTACTTCCTACACAGCTTTTTACAGAGTCAAGTCTTTTTGTAGGTTTGAAAATGACCAGCTCTTATTATTCCCAAAAATATCTGTCAATTATACATAAATATATGTACTTCTGCATATCAAATTCCAACTCTTTTCCACTATGCCAAAAATTAAAAAATTTTTTTTTTTTAAATCCACTGGAAGAAGAGTAATAATGCATCGGGTACTAATTTCTACTGAAGGGGAGGGTTACGACTAATGATTCTAAAATTTTTTTTTTTATATTTTTAAATTTTATTCGTTACATCCAAATATAAATTATATGATTTAAAACTTTCATATTTATAAAAAATATTTTAAAAATATATATTTTAACGATATATTATATATACATCATCAATAACAACTGTACCCAACGCGACACATATCTTAAGATGGCGTGATTGAAACCGCTTGCAAAGTACGCCTGCGGCGGATCACCGCCTCAAAAATCAATACTTTCATGTGTCCGCACTGCAGCATCGGTGCTTGTAAGACAAAAATCACCGTCATTAAACAATTTATGCAGGATGAGATTTATAATTTCAATTTGAAAGACAAAGAGTAGTTTTCTCTTCTTTTACCATACAAATCATCTATTGAAACTTGAAAGGAGATATTAAAAAGTAAGTGACGGAGGCATCAATTTTGTGGCTTTAAATTTAGTAGAATTTAGCTCTAATCCACATTGGAGCAGTTTCAGTTCTAATTAAATTTGTGTTAGTAATTCCCTGAAGTTTTGAATATATCTAATATTTGACACAAATCATAACATATTTATTTTTTTTTTACATTTAAAAATCACATTTTAAAACGCAAACACAATGTTAAACTAAGCCTAAATCTAACATTTAAAAGCCAATTAATTGCTACTCCATCTGTGATCCGAAAATGGGAGGAAAGCCAATTTTTCACTATCCATATTTTATTACCTCATTTGGACTTTCATTTTTTTCTGTCTTTCTCAAATGTTGATTGGGAAAGCGATGCCTTGAACGGTACAACCCTACAGGCTGTCAAACGGGCCAACGTAGGGACTACTCCTGGAAGCACCGCACTATTTTTTTTTCTGTCAAGATTGGATGCATATTGTAATTGGCCGAAGATTTTCACTTTCTGTACCTACTTCTTTGGAGCTGCTCCTCACCAAACGTTAGAAAATTGGGTTATATGCGTTGGAATTTGAATTTGACATTTACTGAGAATGACGACATCTCTTAAAATTAACTTAATGAATAATTGAGCTGAACTTTAGGTTTCCTATATTTGAACTTATGGTAGATACTGAGAAATGATTACTTTAGTATGATAAGTTATTTTTGATTTTTTTGATGATCACTTATAACTTGCAAATTTTGGTTATGGTAAAAGAATATCCCTGCCATCATACTGGCAACTGACAAAAAGGAGTTTGCAAGTGAGTTTATCATAGATATTAAAGAAATCATTTAAATAACCGAAGAAACCTTCAATTTTGGTGGAACAATGAAGCATTTTAACTGTTTTGTTATTACATATTTACCTCTCTCCCACTCTGATCAATGCTGTCAACTTATTAACTGTAAGTCCCACAACGTACAAAGCCAACGAATCAACAAACAACAGGCCAACTTTCTAGGTTGGTTGGCTGGTTGGATAAAATATGCGCATCAATTACACTGAAACATACCTTACTCTTTTTGGTCATCAAATTCCTCAAGCCACATTATTTCATATCTCACTTAACTGGGAAATTTACTTGATTTCTTCCATTAATCCTTTACTCTCTTTCCTGTGAAAGATTATGGACAGACAACACCGCCAGGGGCAAGCCAAAATCACCACTCTTGGAAGTGAAGGTCAGGGTTTTAGTTTTCTGATCTTAATTTTGTCATCCACTTTGATCTTCTTTTTCTTGTTCTGTTATCTCTGATGGGGTTTTTCTTTCTCCTTTTAGCTTGTGTAACATAAGTTTCTAAGATTTGTTGTTGTTTTTTTAAAATTTTTGTGCAGAGGTTAGTAGTATTGAGTGGGAGTTTATTAAAATGACTGAACAGGAAGAGGATCTCATCTACAGAATGCGCAGGCTTGTTGGAGACAGGTGAGCTGACATGAAAACTTGCATTAAATCCAGCATGCAAATCAAATGTTAATGCCTCCTAGATTTGATGAGTATTTGATAGGTAAGGCTTTAGGTAGTTATCTTTAGTTATGGGTTTGATCAAGAAACAGCAGTAATATTCTCTATCCTGTTGCAGGCCAATCTTTTTTAGAAGTACATGGTATTTATTTATATAAGGTGGAATATATGAATTTAACTACTATTCATACTACAATTTAGTTTTATGAGAAAAACAAAGTGTGCTTTCTCTGATTAAACGATAACCAAATTTTCTTTCATAACTGTTTACTATTCATACTACAATTTAGTTTTACTGATTAATTAGCTTTGAATTTTTTCTTTTGAATAATTTTTTTAATTGAAGTTGTAAGATTTGAATCTTAATAACTGAAACTAAAGAATTAGCATTCTACAGACAAATAGATTGACTTGGTTGATATATAAAGAAAGGCATTCATATTAGCGATGGTAATAAAATTCTAACCTGTAGGATTCGTATTTTCAGGTGGGATTTAATAGCTGGCAGGATTCCAGGGCGGAGAGCTGAGGAAATAGAGAGGTTTTGGATAATGAGACACAGTGAAGGATTCGCCCAGAAAAGAAAAGAGTACAATGGAAAAGAGTTCTAAAAGAATTTGGTCTTTTGCCTTTGATGGCTGTAAATAGCTTCTTATTTATGTGATTCTTCTCCATTTTTTACCCATATCTTGTACAACAGATTTGAAAATACTTATCCTTCTTGTTTCTCCTTCTTGCACTTGTTCTATAAATAGCCTTTCTTGTTTGCCCTAGATCCTAATAGCACAAGGCAGGCAGGCAAATTATTCAATGAAAACTCTCAAATTTGATCTTCATCCGTGTTGGCTTCTGAATAAAATGAAACCCCTTTTATTGCACATACCGATTAAAGTGAACAGTACTTAACTGCTTATGTTTTGCACTTTTGCTTTCTTAATCTGGTATACCTTCTGTCACTTAATAGTTGGTGTTAGTTCCCTTTATAAAGAGTAGATCTTCCAATCATGGTGTAAGTTCTGACTTTGAAACAAAAAGAAACATTGATGTCAAAATTTTCAGCTATATAAAACTCGGGGGAAAAGTCTCAAGGCATTTCTGAACCTGGACCTTCCAAACTTAACAACTGCTACTTCTTTGGAGTAATTTATTTAAGCTGCCACTTTGATTGGTAACATGACATAAGATAAAGTTTTACAGTTCGGAAGAGGGGAGTATGCACTGGAACCGAGGGCTGAGGAGCAGAGGTTTTAGCATTATATAGCAGGTCAGCTGGCGTAGATTGGTAGATGTAAGAAAAATAGAGTCAATGCTATCTACCTATAATCAAATTAATATTACGAAGAATTTGAGTTTATTTCAATGGGATCGTATAATATCATTAAAAGATGACATTCAGTAAATTTGAAGTTCAAAATTTAATATCTACAATCTCTTTCTCAATTCCCGTGTGATCTCTTTTGTACAAAAAATAAAAATTATTATCAGGGTGAGAAAAATATCACGTCAAGTATAATGGGTAATTTACAATCTTTTAAGTAATTGAATTTATATATTACATGGTATGGGATTCTATGCTTATGTAGTTAAATGACTATGACACAGGTCATTGGAATACAGAAACGACTCGGTCATGAGCCAAGAGAAGGATATTGGGGGGAATTATGTAGATGAAGCCGAGGATTTTATTTCATTCAAACAACGTAACCACGAAGGTAATCCACTTGGGCTGGATGCTTGAGCTTCAATAGCGCCTTTACTTCATGTTTTTGAACCATTTCTCTCGAAATATTCAAGTTTCCGGCAATTTCTCCTAATGTTCTATAACCTTTACCATCCAGTCCATGTCTCTGCCTGACCACCAGGCTCTCCTTGGGCTTCAGATAATCAAGCTGAAAGACAGGATTTTTAGTTACACACTGTGAGCCTGAGCTTTTAGAATACAGAAAAATGGCAAAACACAGTCCCAATAACTTGGTGATTATTAATCTACAGCTTGTCAAATGTAAGCATTGCTACTAATTGGCCAGAATTTGAAATTAGAAAAAAACAATCTTAAATTTTTTCAAAAGAAAAGTAATCATCTAGGAGTATCATTACTAAAAAGACCTAAAGATACAAGTTTTCTTCTAGTGGCACTTAAAATTGTTAGGCAAAAAAACTCAAACCCAATTAAGCCAATAAAAGCATAATCAAACAATCAATCAAACACATAAGAGATAATAATTTAACATGATTCAGTTCAATCGACCTACGTCCATGGATGAGAAACAAGATCCATTAGTTGTAAAGAATTACAAACATATAACAAATCATATCAACCACTCAACAACCAATAACCATATACCATCTCAATCTCTTCTAGTCTTATAGTGTATTCTCAACCTAAACAAACACATACACACATACCTATGTGCATTCTTTTAACACAAACAAACATACACCATATGCACCAATGCATTATACTTATGTAAACTCTCTCAGTCTCTTTTAGTTCACTCACAAACATACAAACATACACACTCATAAAACGTAAATCTCCAATAATCTTATGAGATGTCTATCCTATAAAACCCTACAGCTCTCTTACATCTTTTTATTATACTTAATCCTATAAAAACTTTACCTATTTATAAGCATACAAACTTACTTATTAAGAATCTCTTTACTCTTAGAATTTTTCTTTTTACAAATCAAACTTGCTTATTAAAAATTCATTTTCTCTTAAAATTTTTCTTTTGCAAGTTTTTTTGTCCATCAATCTAATCAATCTCAAACAAATCTCTTATATGATTTGAGTCATTATTCTCAATAATTTCTACCTTGACTCAAATTCTATCAAATCATTTGTCTTCATGCTAGACATGTTTGACTCTACCTGCAATGAAAATCTCACAATCATCTTCTCTTATGTGCCTTCACATGAAACTCTTCTGTTGAATCTAGTTTCTTTGGGCTTGCCTCTTCCCATGGCTCGAACTATGCTCTAATACGACTTGTTGGGCAAAAAAGCTTCAACCTAATCAAGCCAGCGAAAGTATAATCAAACAAGACAACAATTTAACGTAGTTTGGTCCAATCGACTTACGTCTACGGATGAGAAACAAGATCTACTAATTATAGAGAATTACAAACATACATCAAATCATATCAACCCTTCAACAATCAATACCCATAAATCCTCTCAATCTCCTATAGTCCTATAGAGTATTCTCAACCTAAATAAATACATACCCATATGCACCTATGCATTAATAGCTACATGGACCTTCTCAGTCTCATCTAATGCACTCACATGTACTATACCTATGTAAACCCTCTCAGTCTCATCTAGTCCACTCATAAACATACAAACATACACATCCATATGACATAAATCTCCAATAGTCTTATGGGGTATTTATCCCATAAAACCCTACAACTTTCTTACATATTTTTCTCATAACTAACGAGATTTAACCTATTTATAAGAATACAAATTTGCCTATTAAGAATCTCTTTTCTCTTAGAATTCTTTTTTTTCAAATAAAACTTGCCTATTAAAAATCCATTTTATCTTAGAATTCTTTTTTTGTAGGTCTTATTTTTCATCAAGCAATATCTAGTCACTCTTAAACATATCTTTTATGTGATTTGGATCATTATTCCCAACAACAATGAAAAAATAGTAACCAGTAGATGTGTATAGAACGCAAATTCAGAGAGAATGGACGCATACCACATCATCAAGTGCAAGCCTGAGTAAAGCAGGTTGCCTACGGTGATCACCTCCAACACCATCGACATCAGTAATTCCATTAATTAACTCTTCTTGTGTGACAGAAAGCCTTGAATGAAGAGAAGCAACACGTTTTGAGGCCCTCATCACTTCTTGGTACCTCTCAGGAGAGATCCCAACTTTTTTCCACTTATTTCTTGCTCTGTAGGTTCTTTATGAAGTTCAAACGATAATTCAAGTTTGGCTCTTTGGATTTCTACTCTAACCTGCATCAAGTAAACAGGTTAATGGTTTAGCATATCTCTACTAAAAGAAGCAGCCATGGCTTCTATTGCTCAGTCTATCAGGCAAAGATCTTGAGCAAAGAATAAGCAGCATAAGACAGCAGTCAAAAAGTCACAGACATAAACGACAAACAGAATATGCATATAGATCCACGCACCACTATTTCCCTATGACTTATTTGTGTCTCAAACATTCCATGCGTGATGCTATCATTTACTTGCAGTTAGCTTATTATACGAAAACTGCTTTGTTACAAAGCATCAAATTAATTGTCACTATATAAGTTTTCAGTAATGAATTTCACCCTCAATATGGAGAACCACTTGGGAAAAGGCTAATAATCTTTCCTGCTTAGGCCCTTTCACCAAATCTAAAGGCTGTCAAGTGTCAATACTCAAGATTGGTGCTTGTTTAGAATGAAAATTACAAGGATTCATGTAAATCAACATGGAGTTTTAAAGATAAGAAACAGGAAATAAGCATGCTTCATTGAGAGAGAGAGCATACCCATCCAAGTCCAAATGAAACACATGTGAAGCTTGATAGTGTCGTGGAACGTATAAGTGAATGCCTAATCCAAAAACGACTGTATGCGGAGAGCCGGAATCTCCTTCTTGGTTCAAAGCGATCAATGGCTGTAATAAGTCCTTTGACTCCTGCCTGACAAAGGTCTTGAAATCTTGGGCCATTTGCAAAATCTTGAAAATATTTGTTTATCACAAACAAAACAAGCCGGAGATTATGCTGCATCAAATAAAACAATACCTCTCAGGAGTTATTATTGTCAGCCAATGCCAAAATACTCACAATTTCTTTAGACACAAACTAGGCTACCACTTTTAAAATGGGAATATCAAAACATCAATCTTCCTTAAAAAAGTTGAATTTGATTGTGCCAGAGTGGTTTTTTTTTTGGGGGGAGGGGGGAGGGATTGTTGGTGTAGAACAACACAAAAGATACCCTCATAAGTAAACTTTGGTTTTAGTTCTTCAGCAAAAATCAGTGTAAAACGAATATCCTTTGATACAGGCTTCATATGAAAATGAGAAGATGTGTCTATTTGAAATTAATTATAAGGTACTCGTTGAACTGTTGCATATTTAAAAAAATTGGTCAAATGACTTTCAAGCTTTATCACAGAAAATTTTTACTGAGGAATTTTAGTGGTACATCAACATCAGTAGCATAAAATGAATAATGTATATTTTGCTAAACCAACTGAAAAACCACCCTAAAATCAGTGGCGGTGGAAGAGGAATCACCTTAATGAGCTTATTTCTAGCAGCTCGACCAACCTCTAAATGTTTTCTCACATGAGCTGCACTCATATTTGTTGCCTCAGCTAATTCATCTTCAGTTGGATCTCTGCCCAAATCCTTTCGCAATTGCTCTTTTGCCTGAAAAAGTGCTCACAGTTTTAGCAAAATCTTTTAGTGGCAGAAACAATCATAGTTTCAAAAATGAGAGACACTGAAGTGAAGGTTTGCTGTCTCTTTTTACCTTCCTTTAAGTTGAAAAGGTCCGCACCTTCATTTGCTGCTTTAGTTTAAACAACCAAGTATGTTCAGTACTTGGAAGAACCGGAGGTATCTTCATCTTTTGCCAGTCGAGGCTGACGAAATCAGTTGAAGCTGAATAGTCCCTGACAAGCCTATCAATCTTCTCGCTTTCATTCTCAGTACTCTTTTTCCTCCAAACAGAAGCAACAGGCTTTTCTTCTTTGTTCTTTTTCATTTCAATCCCTTTATCAAGACTCAATCTAGTCTTCTTAGTCTGGTTCCTAAGTCCTAACCACTATTTGCTTATTAGCGTTATCTGCTTTCTCATCACTTTCTTTACACCTCTTTCACCTTTGCTGGTGACTGCGTTCTTTTATCTCGCCTTCTCCCTCTTCTACATCAGATGTTCTAGTTGAAAGGCTAAGCTTATAAATGTTTTCAAGCTTGGCAGCAGCTTCATTGTAATCCACGTCCAAGGTACATGGAGAACCTTCATCAGTCAAGACACTATTTGCAGTTTTGGAAGCCTTTTTAGCTTTTCCTCGTCTCTTCGGGTGCTCCTTAGCTGTTTCTATTGATAAAAGAACATGCTCTTGAGGCGTAACTAGTGCTATATTATTGTATTTATCTGCTTTAAATGCAACAACCAAAGGCCTTCTCAATGTACATCTTCGAGTAGGAAACTTTGTGCTTATCCTAGTGG